TTATTAAAGGTAGGAAAAGAAACAGGCTCTGCAGAGTGACTTTGGCCCAAGTAAAAGTATACCCTACAGTGTGAGGGTGGCCATCATACCACTGAGTGACAAAAACTCTGTGGATTATCCTGTTTGTGTCACCACTCCTCAGGCTGATGTCAGGTCAGGTCTAGGCCATCCTATCAAAAACCTGCTTAAGTTCTTGTAAGAAGCCCATGTGCAAGGCCTTGGTCCCTGTTCTGTGCATGTGTTCTGGGATCTAGTCATGTCTCTTTCTCAGCCAGCTATGCCACATGGTAATCTCTCAGATTCACACTTAGCATAAACCAGATGTTGAAATTCTTGGATAGTGAATTTAAAATAACAGTGAGTAGTATGTTATTAGTGGAAGAAGTAGACAACATGCATGAACAGATGAAAAGTTTTAGCAGAAAGGTGGATACTATGAAAAAGTCAAATGGAGGTGGTAGAGACAATAGCAATGCTGCAGATGAAGTAGTGCTTGGATTTATTAGTAGACTTGACACAGCTGAGCACAGAATCACTGAATTTGAAGGCAGGTCAGGAGAAATCACCCAAATGAAAAACAACAGAGCATCCAAGAGCTATGGGACACTATTTAATGTAGATGTGATGGAAGTTACAGGATTAGATGAGAGTACCAAGAGGAATCTAGTGAGAGGTGAGGATCAGGTTCGTTTCAGCTTATACTATAAACAGTTGTCCTTTTATGATCTAATTAGTGCCACATGTTTTGCATTTTGTGCTGTTGTAAATTGTGCTATCTAAAAGCATAGTGCTTTAGTACTATGTGCCTATGGAGTTGATGTGTCTTAGAGAGAAAATGCCTATTAGATAAAATTCTTTCAGGCTTGAGTTGTAGGGTTGTTGACCATAAATTCAATGTTAACAAATTAGTGTATACAAGGGGTAATAGGCAAATATGGTGAATGTTTAAATTTGTATTATACATAAGCGTCTGCCTTGCAAGCAGGCAGTCGTGAGTTCGATCCCTGATACTGATAAAAATGAAAAAGACAAAAAAAAATTTGTATTATATATGTATGTATTTGAGACAGGGTTTCACTGTGCAATTCAGGATGGCCTTGAATTTGTATGTAGCCTCAGCTGGCCTCAAACTCAAAGTGATACTCCTGCCTCAGCCTCCCGAGTGCTGGGACTAGAACATTTAAATTTTTTTTTTTCTTCTTTTTCCTTTTTATCAGTACCGGGGATCGAACTCAAAATGACTGCCTGCTTGCAAGGCAGGTGCTTATGCCGCTGAGCTAAATCCCCAGCCCCTGAACATTTAAATTTTTTAAAAAAATTTTTAAATTACATTAATAAGTTAATATTCTTCCTCACTTTTTTATTCTATTGTTTCTGCTTCTTTCTTTTTATTTTATTTCTACTGCTTTCCGAAGTAATTCTGAAAGTTCTTTTTTGTGAGTATCAGTGAGGGGTGATAAAATACATAATGAACATTGCTGTTGAGTGCCAATCAGAGGAAAGGCAGGGTTATAAAAACATTATAGCATGTCTCCTCTTATTCACTGAAACTGGCATACAGACAACTTGTGGTTCTTCCTCGAAGTCAAAATCACTATGGAAGGTAAACATTTCAAATCAATTCAGAGCACTGAGGCAACCACAATAGTACAACAAAAGACACTCATAAGAAAGACTTGCAGAACTGTTTCAGAAAGTGGCAAGAACCATGGGATAAACATATTAGAAGAGAAGGGGAGTTTTTTTGTGGGGGGGGGTTCTTTGTTTTCTTTTTTTGTCTTTTTGTGACAGGGTCTCATTATACAGTTCACTTTGAGCTCACTTTGTAGGTCAGGTTGGCCTCCAACTCACAGTGATCCTCTTGCCTCAGTCTCCTGAGTGCTGGGATTACAGGCCAGTGTCACTACACACACCAAAGGGAGAGTTTTTGTTTTTGTTTTAAATATTTTAAATTCAGTGATTTTACGCAGTTTATTTATTTGAGTGGGGTACCAGGCATTGAATTTAGGACTTCACACTTGCCAGGCAAGTACTGTACCACTTACCTAAATTCCCAGGCCCCAAAGGGAGTTTTTTTGAGACGAATTAATGGAATGTGTGTTTGAGTGTAATTTTTTAATTTATATACATAGCAAAATTTTTTAAGCCAGGCGTGGTGGTTCACGCCTGTAATCCCAGCACTTGGGAGGCTGAGGCAGGAGGATCGTTGCAAGTTCGAGACCAACCTGGGCTACAAAGTAAGCTCAAGGCCAGCCTGAACTGCATAGTGAGACCCTGTCTCAAAAAGACAAAAAAAAAAAAAAAAGCACTGCGGGGAGGGGGGGGGGCCTGGGGATTTAGCTCAGCAGCATAAGTGCGTGCCTTGCAAGCAGGCAGTCGTGAGTTTGATCCCCGGTACTGATAAAAAGGAAAAAGACCAAAAAAAAAAAAAATTTTTTTTAATCACACCTCATACTACCTTAGATATCTTTCAATAGAAGCATACATAAAACAAGGTTATATGTTGGCCATTTGATGAAAGTGTATTCCAGTAATTCCCTAAGAGCAGTGGCTCAGTAATTACTAATTCACTATATATGGCAACTTTTTATCTACCACAGTTGCAGTAACAATAACTAGGTTTTACAGTATGGTTCATTGAAATCCTCGACAAGATTGTTTCAGTGGAGATAAGAGATGAAAACCTAATTTGATCCCGAGGATGTGGCAAGACAAAGGGGAAAACGAGAGCTGTGGAACAAAGTAGTATACAGGATTATGGTCCACGGCAGAACTCTCCTTAAAAGCTAACAGACATAGAAAATAAAGGACTTTTAGGCTAGTACCAATACCTGAGAATAACCACTTAAAGGCAGAACAGTTTTGTGTTGGCTCATGGTTTCAAAGGTTTCGTTCTGTGGTCAGGTGGCTCCATTGTTCATAGGCCTGTAGGAAGGCAGAGATATTTCTGTGGCAGAAGAAACCTCCTCACCTGATAGCAGCTAGGAATCAGAGAGAGAGGGAGAAGGCAAGGGAGGAAGAGGGCTGGAACCAGACACAGGTCCCCAGCACACACCTTTGAGACCTGCCTTGTCCATTTAGGTACTTCTTTCTAGTAACTTTATTAAGCTAGGAGTCATTAATCATTGAAGCCCTTTCTGATTCAGCTACTTTGCAGAAGTCCATCAGCTGGCACCCAGGCCATGGTCTCTAGGGGACATTTCCATAGCCAAACAAAGTTTGCTAGGGTGAATCCTTGGGACTCCATTTTGTCTTGAAGAGTATCAGGAAATCATGGGCCTTTAGTCCTTCAGTTTGTCTAGTACAGTCCTTAAAAATCCTTTTCTTTTAACATGTAGCTGCCATATTAGAAAGTACCAATAGAGAATACATCCATCGTTACAGAAAATTTAGGTAAGGACCAGAAGCTGCAGCTGTTTTCCTCTTTCCTCATGGTGGGGAGTCAAACCTAAGTTTTGCACATGATAGGCAAATACTCTACCCACAGAGATGGGGCAACAGGAACCCAGGTCATTGAGAAGGACATAATCTGTGTTGTGGAAGGTTTATATCACAGAGGACAAAAAGGATTTACGACTTCCAAGTCTAGTCAGATTCTGGCTAGAACAAACAGTGCAGTACGCTTTTGGTGTTGGTGAACTTCCTCACATATTTAAGGGGTCTAGAATCTTTTAGAGGCAAGGCATTGGGCTGACAGAAGCCACGACAGAATTGGTCAAGTCTTTTTGTGGTTGGGGGTGATGGTTAGGTAAGTTGTTTATGCTGAGTTTGCAGTTCTTAGTAATTGGATAAAAATTTTTACATAAAATTTCATGACGTGGGGTAGTTTGAGAAGTGATTAAGACTGGAGTTTTACCTGGCCTGGGAAAGAGGAAAAGAACGTCCAGTGAAGGGAAGAGAGTGTTCTTGGGACCTAGGGCCAAGAAAGAAAAGAGGAACAGCGAGGAAGGTAACTTTCAAGGCCTGAAAAGCAGCCTGAAATTTTGTGATTTATGTCCAACAGGAATATATGAACCAGAGTAATCTATAAGAGGCAGGGTCTCTGTTAACAACCTACTTGAGGAAGCTACTTGGAAGAGAGAACCTGTGGGGTGAGACTTGAAATACGATAGGTGGGCTTTTCATATTTTAGCATTTTGTTATGAACCCCTGTCAGATTCTCTCAGAGTAAATTCTGATTTAATGTCAAGATACCTTAGGTGGCATTTCTGTCACTTTGCCTCTTGACTTCTTGATTAGTTTCCACCGGATCTTTTCATAGTATCGTATTCTTTTTTTGTCTTTTTCCTTTTTATCGGTACCAGGGATCAAACTCACGACTGCCTGCTTGCAAGGCAGACGCTTATGCCGCTGAGCCAAATCCCCAGCGCTCACATAGTATGGTATTCTAAAGAGCTCGCGTGGTTTTGTATAGTCAGTTCTTCTGTCTGGAGTGCCTTGTAGTCCTACTTCAGTTCTGTGCCCACAGGCACCCTTTTATCTTCAAGACCAGGTGAACTTAATGCCCTTTTTTCCTTTCTTTGTTCCCTATAATACAGTTTCTTTTATCTGTTACAGATTTTTTATTTTTATTTTTTAAAATTTATTTATTTTTTTGATGCTGTGGATTGAACTCACAACTTTGCATTTGCCAAGCAGGCATTTATGCCACTGAGCTAAACCCCCCGCCCTTAAATATTTAAGGTGTTTTTTTTTTTTTTTTTTTTTTTTTTTTTGTACTGGGGATTGAATGCACAACCTTGTGCTTACCAGGTGAGCACTTACACCACTAAGCTAAATCCTGGCCCTCTGTCTGCAGCTTTTATAGTATGTTATAACTGGTTTGTGCTCTCAACTCCTACACTTAAACTGAAGTCTAAGTGTAGAGGGAAATACTGTTTGGATAATAGATACGATTAAATATAATCACTTTTGAAATATGTTTTCCAATGTTAACTCAGCTGTCTTATGCATATAGGTACAAGATACAATTTGTTAATTGAATTTTTATTTGTTCTTAGATGTCATTAAGAGGATCTGCGCCAGTGACAGTTGTACCTCTTCCTGGAGAGCAAATACAGGTTCAGGGGGTCATCCAGACAGCTCAGTCTTCTGTAATTCACCCAGCACACGTGCAAACGGTACAGCTATTCAAAGATAGTAGTTGAAACAAAAAAAAGAGAAAAAGAAAAGAAAAAACAAAGATAGTGTTTGAGATTGGGGACTTTTATACCCTGAGAGCTCAGATACACTGAAGTTGCCATAGTTATGGTATAAACCAAGCTAACAAAGTTTTCTTGGAAATTAGCGTATAGATCCAATGAGGTTAAATGAAAAGTGTTAGAATTGTTTATTAGATGTGTGTAATGCCTAGTGAAATAATCAGTTTTGAGAGGTTACTGCTAAGAATTTAAGGCAAAGAAACTTTCTTCAGGGGAATAATCCTTTTTCTCAATAATACCATTCATGAAAGGAATTCTAAAGCAAGGGTAATGGTTTGAAAGTATTAGCAAAAGAAGTAACAATCTATCTTATGCTTTGTGGAGATCAAATTGGAGAGTTCTCACAGTAAAAGACATTTCTTAGTTACATCTATCTTCATAGTGACTCCTGACAACTTTAGGAAAGAAAGAGGGCCACCCTGGATTTCTTTTCTGCTTTCTTCCCATTTTATCTTTGATTCCTATGAATCCCAGAATCCCATTGGGTCTTCTTTCTGTTTTAGAAGCAGCTATCTGAGAAGCAGTGAGGAATGTAGTGCCTCTTCTTTTCCTAACTAGGTAGTGACTGGCAGTCCTGTCAGCTGTAGCATGCATCTTCATTTGGCAGTCTTATATGAAGGGTGGCAGCTGCATGGATCTTTGAGTTTTTATTTTTTGCTGTTGTCATTAAGATAAATATTTGATCTTAAAAACAATTAATTCCTTCATTTAGAAATTATTTTCTTACTTGAGTACACTTTCATTGAGAGACACTGGAGTAAATTCAGGGATGGATTAGAAATGATGCTTGAAGAGTACAGGATGATATCTTTCTTTTTAAAAATCATATTAGTTACTATGACTAATTAACTTTTTGAAAGATAATAAAATGTAAAACAAGTCTTTGGAAATTTAATGGCAAATCTAAATAGTCTAAGCTTTTCTAATAATGTAGAGAACTGATTTCTTATGTTTCTTCTCAAAGAAGCAAGATAGAATTTTTGGAGATGAAGCTGGGTATGGTAATGCACATGTATAATCCCAGCACTCAGGAGGCTAAAGCAGGAGGACTGCAAGTTTAAGACCAGTGCAGGCTACATAATAGGGCCCTGACTCAAAAACAAAATAAAACAACAAAAACACGAAGAAAGTCAGGTATCATAACGTTTTAGTCAAGTTTGAGAAATGTAAATATATTTTAAAAGCTGAAAATAACTTTGCTCAATTGTAAAATATTGTTATAACTTAAGACTTGCCTTTTTTGTTGATATAAATTATTGTTACGAATAGTGCCAAGTGTGCTGGTGCATGCCTGTAATCCTAGCTACTTAGGGGGCTGAAGCGAGAGAATCAGAAGTTCTGGACCAGCCTGGGTAACTTAGTGAGATACTGTCTCAAAATAAGAAGGGCAGGGAATACAGCTCAGCATCCGCTGGGTTCAATCCTCAGTAATATACTCACACACAAAGGTTAGTGATATTTATTGTGAGTACCATGAGATGAGGTAAAGTAGATTACTGCAGATCTTTAAGTCACATATATTTAGACCTGCTCTTTATAATTACCACCTTGCCAAGTAAAGTGATCAATTCTCAGTCCTTGTTTTACATTCACATAGGTGACAGTGGGTTCTCAGTATGTCTTCATTAGTTTTTCCAAGAAAGCTCATTCATTTGATTTTCTGCCGTCCTCACTGAGGATTCCTTTCCAACCTTACTAGCTCGTTTTCCTCTTCTTCCCAATCTCTTTTAAGGTTAGAGTTTTCCTGAGCTCCTAATTCTATCCATATATACTCCTGTACTGAGTTTCTCTCATGGCTCAAGGGATTCCAAAGAGCTCTGCTTTCAAATTAATGTGTCTAACACAGACCTCCTCCCTGGATTGAGGCTTATATTTTCAACAGCCTCCTCAGAGTGGGCAACTAGATATCTAATAGTTTTTTAAAATCTAAATCAGGAAAAAAAAAAATCCAAATCGGATAGCATTAGTGATTTTTTTTTTTTTTTTTTTTTTTTTTTTTTTTTTTTTTGGTCTTTTTGAGATGGTCTTGCTATGTGGTTCAGGCTGGCCTTGAGCTTACTTTGTAGCCCAGGCTGGTCTCGAACTTGCAATGATCCTTCTGCCTCAGCCTCCCAAGTGCTGGGATTACAGGTGTGAACCACCACGCCTGGCAGCATCAGTGATTAAAAAAAAAAAAAAAAAAAAGCTTTTATTTATTTATTTATCTCACTATGGTTTCCCAAGCTGGTCTTTACCTACTGAGATCAAGTGATCCTCCTACCTCAACCTACCGAGTAGCCAGCATCACAGGCATGTGCCACCACGCCCAACTAAAAATCTTTGAGCACTGCGCTAGAACTAAAAAAATGGAGGTTGAGATCAATAACTAGTCTTAAGTGTAGTAGCATAGTATTACTGTATTCATCTTAACTCTGAGCCTACTGTATTGTATGTTTCTTTCATTAGTTTTCACTCTAGAAATAAACTTTCTCTTTTTTTCTTTTCTTTTGGATTTTAGACTTAATGTACAGGTGAATTTGGGTGGCAAGAGACAAATAATTTTTTAAAATAAAAATTCAATTCTTTTTCATCTGTATTCTTCCTTATATTAAAACCAGTTTTGTTTTTTTAGGTATCATCTTTATCAGAAAGTGAAGAGTCCCAGGACTCATCTGATAGCATAGGGTCCTCACAGAAAGCTCACGGGATCCTAGCACGACGCCCATCCTACAGGTCAGTGTGCTTTTTATTAAGCCCTGTAAACCTTATTGCCAAACTAAAGAGGGAAATGTTAAGAGAGGCCATTGGGAGCCAGATTGTGGAGGGTTCAGTTCACTGGGTTGGAGATGATTTTAGGACTTATCTTCTGGCACAATTTTAAAATTTCATATTAGCGTAGAATAGTTAATAGGAATATGAAATAATATGGAGATTAAGAATCAAACTGTTTTGTGTTCCCTTTCTCAGCTTCCTAATTCTGTGTCTTTGTTCTACATACTACAATAATTCCTGTACATACTTCAGAAGCTTCTCTTATTACCCTTTTCTCAGCAACTCCAAGACCAGATTAGTTCTGTTTGATTAAGTCCTTCTATTGAACCCTCGTATAGTACTTACCTCATCCATTTTATATGAGGGCATGGCCCAAGTAGTATTTGTGATCTTGGGGGTTAGCAAAGTGCCATCCCCTAGTAGATGCCCAGTAATCAATGAATGAAATACTGGAGGTACACTTTATTGAAAGAAAGTGTTTCAAGTAATTTGGTGACTATGTCAGAGAAATAGGAGACAGAAAATGAAACAATGTTTGAAACATATGCAAATGCAGTAGGATTTTAAATAATAAAAGAAAACTCTGTACAGGCATGGTCAGTCCTGTCTGGTGGAATAAATAGGAAAGATACAGAGATGTGACTCAGATTATCACAGTCTTTTATTTTGTGATTCTGGGACAAAGAGGAGTTTCATTAAGCTAGCAGAAGAGCCGTTTCAGCTGAGGTACAGCTGAGGTACAGGTTGACTAAAGAAATAAAATTGGCCTGTTCTGTGACTTGGGAGATTAAGAAACGTGGAGGAAGAGGTTGTGTAACACAAAAGATAAACAGGAACCAGATTACTTCCAGCCTTGCTATTTTGTGAAGGATTTTGGCCTGCATTGATAGTCACTGAGCAGATGTTATCAGTCAGCTTTGCATTACTTTGACCTAATACTTGAGATACTCAACTTTTAGAGAGCAAAGTTTTATTTGGCTCATAATTTAGGAGGCTTATTAATTAGCCCCATTGCCTTTGTGCCTGTGACAAGAACCAAGCTGTTCATTTCATACCCAGATGATGAGAAAGAAAGGGCTATAGTCTTGCTGTCCCCTTCTTGGGCCTACTTGCACTGACCTATTCTCAGGGCCCCCCACCTTACAGGTTCCCCCACCTACTAGTAGCACCACCTTGAGGGAACACTTAGCCAAACCATAACAACAGACACTTTTTGCCTGTGAACTGTTGTGAACTTGTGAACTGTTCTTTTTTTTTTTTAATTTTTCTTTTTGAAGATAGTAAAATACCACAGAACAAAACAGAACAAAGCCAATTGAGACAGTGTAGTGAAATTGGTACAGAACTTCACAGCAGGTTACCGGGATGACAGTAATAGGTATCACAGTATGTCTCCTTATCTTCACAATGGTTGTTCTTTCAGTCACGTATAGCAAAATAAAATGAAATACAGAATATTATAGAACTTACCAAAACAGAATATTGAATAGAGCAGTACCATTAATCAGAATAAAGCAAAACAGTAGTAAAAATATTTGCCTTCAAAGAGATGGTAAAAGGAAATCCCCCTTATTTGCTATATTGCATATGGTCAACCTCCCAAGAGATGCTCAGATCTCTGGTTCCCATTTGCTAACAAGGCAAGGCAAGTGGAATGTTTGACTCTCAACCCATGTGCCAGTAGGCTCACTATTGCTTACCAGGGAGGCAAGCTGGTTGCTTGGTTTCCCAGAGTCCTAAGTTCCATCATGGCATGGAGCTCAGGAGACACTGGTGGTTTTCCCCCTGGAGGGGCTGCAGCCTGTTGTGAACTGTTCTGTGTGAAAATAAACCCTAAAGAATGAACTCAAAACTGAAAACCAAAAAAAAAGGTGGGGGGCAGAAGCACTATTAGCAAATAGCAACAGATGCACTAAACATTGTTAAGTCTCTAAAGCACTTCAGATAATAAAATTACTAAGAAAGGTTTGAAGTAATTTGGTGACTATATAAAATTAAAAACAGCATAAAGAAGGAACCCTTCTGGCTGGGCGTGGTGGTACACTTCTGTTTTACGTTGTACTCAAAGAATTAGTCAAGAAGTTAAATAGATGGACCAGATTAGAAAAAGAAATAAAATATGCACAACTATGATCTCATACTGTTTGGTTGACTGTAATAGACTATCAGCCTGGGTGTTTATAGAGAAAGTAAATTTCTTTGGCTCATGGTTTTGGAGGCTGACAGGCCCACAGTTAAGGAATTGATGTAGCAAGGGCCTATTGTGCTATGTTATCCCATGGTAGAAGGCAGAACTCATCCAGAGATAACTAAGCTACTCCTGCAGTACTTGCATTAATTTGTTTATCAGGGTAGAGGCCATATGACCTAATCACCTCTTGAAGGTCTCACATTTAAGCACTGATGTATTGAGGAGTAGGTTTGTAGCACATACCCAAACCATAGCATTTACATAGAAAATCCTGAGGAATCCCATAAAATAGAACTAATAAATAAGTTCAGCAAGGTTGTGGGATATAAGATTAATATACAGAAATGAGTTATCCATATACTGGCAATACAATGAGATTAAGAAAACAGCCCCATTTATAATAGCATAAACTATAAAGTAAGCTTAAAATTAAATGTATGAGTATAAGTTAAGTAAGGGAAAAGGGGATAAAGGGGGGGAAATGACCAATATGCACTATATTCATGTAGCAGTTCCCCAAAGTGGATAACAGTATCCTGTATTACTAATAAAACAATAAATTACACATATGACTTTAACAAAAGAAGTATAGTATGAAAACAACAGAACCTTGTTGAAAGATATTGTAAAAGATCTTAAATGAAGACTTTCTGTGTTGACTGAAGAATATTATGACAGATAATCTAATTAAAAAATAAGCCTGACTTAATAGAAGCCATCAGAATGGGGAGATACTGGTAAGAAGCGAGGAGATAGCTGCTGGAGGTCCTTCTAAAGGTACAATTGAGGGATCGGGATAAAAACTGTTGGTTGAATGTTTATACATGGTGACACACAGTTACACAGTAATCAACTCTTTTTTTTTTTTTTGTCTTTTTCATTTTTACCGGTACCGGGGATTGAACTCACGACCGCCTGCTTGCAAGGCAGGTGCTTATGCCGCTGAGCTAAATCCCCAGCCCCAGTAATCAACTCTTAATACTCATGAGACCTCCTATACACATTTCACACAGCCAAGGGATTGCCTTTTACCTCTAAGAGAAAGGATAGTTCTTTCCTCTAAGGAAAGAACAGCAGATAAAGCAGAAGATAGCAAGCCTGCTGGAAAAGAGAATTCAGATTGAAAAATGACACTGCTCCAGCTCCCTTCCTCAGCTTAGCTATTATAAAAACCCTTTCCAAGGGGATGTGTCTCATTGAATGATAGTGTATGTGCATACTGTGCCCTGGGTTCAATCTTCAGCACCAGAAAAGAATAAAAGGGGAGGGAGTTGAATAAGCATGTCTCCAAAAAAGATACATAAGTGACCGATAAATGTGTGAAAAATGTTAAACATGACTGATAATCAAGGAAGTGCAAATCAAAATTATGAGGCACTATTTGAGAAAAAGGTTAGATAGTAACAAGGGTTAGTGAGGACTCTGAGACATTAAAACCCTCGTATTTTGCCAGTGAAAATTTAAAGTAGTACAAGTGCTATGGCAAATGGTTTGACAGTTGTGTGGAATGCTAGGTTACCATATGACCAACCTATTCCAATGCCAGGTATGTTCTCAGAAATAAAGACATGCGTCTGCATAAAAATTGCACATGAGTGTTTACAGCAGTATTGTTCATAATAACCCCAAAGTGGAAACAATCCAAATGTCCATCACTCATAAATGGATAAACTACAATTCTCAGTGTGTATAATGGATTATTAACAGTAAAGTACTGGTTATGTTTCAATATGATGAAACTTTAAAATACAAGTAAAAGAAGTTAGTTACCAAACTGCATACTCTGTGATTCAATTTATGTGAAATGTTCAGTTTTGGTAAATTTATAGAAACAAAGTAGATGGGGCTAACAGTGCAACTCAGTGGTAGAGCACTTACCTTGCATGCGCAAGGGCCTGGGTTCAGTTTCTAGTACTACAAAGAAGAAATGGAGAAGGAAGGAAAGTAGATGAGCAGTTGCTTAGAAATTGGGAAAAGGAAAAATAGACTGGGGATTGACTCTTAATAGATACTAGATTTCTTTTTTTTTTGAGACAGGCTCTAGATACATAATCCATGCTGGTCTTTCACTCACTATGTAGCCCAAGATATCCTTAAACTCTTGGCAGTCTTCCTGCCTCAGCCTTCCATGTGCTGGGATTATAGGTGGGGGCCATCATGTCTGTCTTTAAGTTTCTCATATATTGTCCCCTTCTAAAAGAAACATTGAGTTATACACTTTAAATGAATTAATTGTATGGTGAATGACTGACTGCAAGGTGTTTTCCTTAAAAAGATTACAATGATTAGAATGGATTTTTTAAAAATGCTTAACTATTTAGTGAAATGCTTAACTAACTAAACTGAAGGATGGCTAAAGATATACCATGAAAACACTAATGAAAACTAACGTTGCTATCAAAATATCATACAAAATTGACCAAAGCAAAGAAAACTACCAGAAATAAAGGACATTTCTGGGGACATAGTTCAGCAACACAGCACTTGCCTGGTAAGTGTGAGGCCCTGCGCTCTATCCTCGGTACCTCTCTCTCACAAAAAGGACATTTCTTACATAGTGGTAATTCAACAAGAAGACATAACAATACAAATATATACACACTTCACCAAAAAACTTCAAAGTACATGTATCAAAACCTTAGAATTAAAAGTAGAACAAACAAATCCACCTATAGCTGAAGACTTTAGCCATACCTATCTCAGTTTGACAGTTTCAGTACAATTTGGAGTGAGAAAATCACATTGTAGAATTTAATACCAGTAACCAGGGGACCTAAGTGAACGTTTTTGGAGTCCTTCGCCACACAGCTATAAAATGAACATTATTTTTGACTGCACAAAGAGCATCCACCAAGAAAATACCATATCTGTGGTCATAATCTTTAATTTTAAAAGAATTAAAATCCTGCATATTGTGTTCTCTGATCCACAGGCATTATACTTTTTTTTTTGGTCTTTTTGAGACAGGGTTCCCTAGGCAGTTCAGACTGGTCTTGAGCTCACTTCGTACCCAGGCTGGCTTTGAACTGACAGCCTCCTGCCTCAGCCTCCTGAGTGCTGGCATTTATAGGTATGCACCACCACACCTGGCTTGTTGGCATTATACTAGAGATCAATAATAGAGTTTTGGGGGAGGCTGGGGATACAGTGCAAGGTCCTGGATTCAATCCCCAGTGCACAAAAAAATTATTTTAAAGGAAATAAAACAAAACAAACAACATGACAAAACAATGAGAACAATATTGAATTTAAAAAAACATGACACAAGGAAATCCTCCATAGTTGCTATATTGCATATTGTTATCCTCTAAACAGATGCTCAGATTATATTGCCCCCCCCCATCCTGCAAAGCCAGCGTTAGGTTATTTTTGTACCTCAGGTGCCATCCCAGTATGTGTTCCTCTGAATCAGCCTTGCCTACATAGGGGGAGAGGCCCTCTCTTGTCTGCCAGCTTGCTCCTCTGCTGGCTCGCATCTGCTGGCTCACAGCAAAGGCAGGCCGACTTCTTGGGTCTTTTCTCAGCCTCAGCTGGCTCCAATAATAGAAATATAAAAAGAAGGTTTCCAAATACATGGAAATTAAATAGCACAACTAAGAAACAATTGAGTTACCAAATTGGGTAAGTGCAAGCAAATCAGAAGAAAGGAAATGTTAAAGAATAGCAGTCAGTGAAATTTGCAAAGAAAAAACTTATTAGCAAAAGCTGGTTCTTTGGAAACAGTGAAGTTGACAGTCCTGTTGGGTGGGGGAGTAATTGGAGATGACAATAAGTTATGGAGGGGCCAGGTGTGGTGGCGCACACCTGCGATCCAGCACTCTGGGTGGGTGAGGCAGGAGGACCATGAGTTCAAGGCCAGTGAAACTCTGTCATGGAGGACTGGTTATGGCCTTGGAAGGGATGGTATTTATTCTGAGAGAAATAGGAAGCCAGTGCAAATGAGTGTAGGTCTGATTGACATTTTAAAAAAGAAGACTTCTGTGTGGAGAATAGACTGTAACAAGGGGTAGGTAGACAACTGGAGACCAAGAGAGACTATTGTGACTGTCCGGTCAAGAGGTGATGGTGGTATTTATTGGGTGGAGGTGATGAGTAGGTAAGAGTAAGACAATAGTTGCTTATGCATTGGTGATGGGCTGTGAAAAAAAAAGAAATGATGACATTAGAACTTTTGGTTTAAACAACTAGAAAATGGAGTTGGTATTTCCTGAAAAGATATCAAACATTAGATTTTGAATATGCTAGGTTTGAATTTCCTGTTGGAATGGAAGTGTTCAATGCAAAATTGGATATAAAAGTAAAGTTCAGGGGAGAGAATGGGGAAGAAATCAATTGAAGGCCCACCAATGTAGACTGAGTATCCAAACTCATAGAACAGATGAGATTGCCAGAAAGAGAGGTCAAAAATTAAAATAATGTATACAAATGATATACAATAATATAGAAAATGTTACGTTGACATTCGTATCTGTAACTTGATTTGTTTCTGCTCAAATTATTTGAAACAAATTTGAGTGTGGTGGTATATGCCTACAATCCCAGCACTGTAGGGGAGGCTAGGGATGAACCAAAGTTGAACTTCAAAGCCCTGTGTGGTGGCACATGTCTGTAATCCCAGCATTTTAGAGACTGAGGCAAGAGGATAGTATCCCTGCCTCAGTCTGTATAGTGCCTGAACTGCATAGTGAAACCTTGTCTCAGAAAGACAGAAGGGAAAAAAAAGTTGGAGCCCAGACTGGGGAAGTGAGATCCTGTTTGAAAATTTAAAAAATAGTCTGTGTGATGTTTCTTGGTAGGGGCTTGTGTTGCTGAGCTATATCCCCAGACAAATGCCCTGGGCTCAATCCCCAGGTTAAAAGAAAAAAATCGGAACCAAACGTGGCATAATATTAGTATATGTTGATTTATGGTATGTGGTGCATAGTTGTTTTATTTTAAGTATTTTTCTTTAAAATTGAGAAATAAATGGGCAGAGCATTCGATGGTATCATGCTAGGCTGGTTGCATGAGGCCACATAGACATTGTTAAGTGGAATCTAGAGCTGTGTCTCACCTCACAATCATTAGGGGTATGGGGATCTGGATTCAACAAACTTTCCAGAGAATTCCGATACATAGACAGGTTTAGGAATCACCATACTACAAATCCCTAAAACATAGTCCTGTAGTCTCACCTCCCTTGTTCTGTTTAACTTCTGCTAATAGAATCTACAATTCTGTTAGCTTTTGCTGGGAATATTGTGTAGAGAAAAGAGCTGGAGCTGGAGAAGGATCTTCAACATGTCATAGGAGAATACATGAAAAAACTACAAGTGTTCAACTTAAATCATACCTGTGGCAGTAGTAAAATATCGCATGGTATAGAACATAGGTACATAATTGGGTTAGGCTTAAATTTTTCTAGCTTCACTGGGAAGAACCAATGTTGGGTTGAAGTGAAAAAGAACTCTAATTATGCAATAATAGAAGAGTGTACTTTTGGAAGTAGTAGATGACTTTTCAAGGAAGTGAATAAGTAAAGTTGTGAGGAATGGGCTGGAAAGTTGGCATAGATATCACTAGAGACTCCTTTCGCCTTTCAGGATACCTTTTCAGCAAGAACTGCTTTCCCACACCTTTGCCTGTCATACATACCATTTCACCAAGTCTGAGATACACCTCTGGACTATTTACCTCTTTTTGTTAAAATGAGCAGTTTTACTTACTGCTGATACTCTGCCTATTTTTTTCTATAGTACTGGAGATTAACCTCAAGGAGTGATGAGCTAGATGCTGACCTTTTTTTATTTTGACACAGAATTTTACTAAATTGCACACACTGGCCTTTAACTTGCCATCCTTCTGCCTTAGCCTCCTGAGTAGCTAAGATTATAGGCTTGTATCTAGCTATAGTAGCGTGTCTAGTCTTGATTTTTTTTTCTGAGAATTGAAAGCTGATAAGACAAAATTGACCTTAAGTGAAGGTCACTGACACTGCTTAATGAATATTAATTGAATAATTCACAATAGGGACATCTCTCCTATAGAGAAATAGGTTTTTATTCCCTTTACAAGGGCCTCTACAAATGCCTAGAGACTCTTTTTTTTGTTGTTGTGCTTTTTTGATAATGGAGTACTTTTTTTTTTTTAATGCATAACTTTTTTTTGACATCATAAGCAAAATGTAACTAGCCTGGAGCACATAATGATGATGGTTTCTTTTTGGGGGGAGTAGTTGGGGGTTTTTGAGAGAGGGTCTCACTTTGTAGTGCAGGCTGTCCTCGAACTCACAGCAATCCTCCTGCCTCAACCTCTTGAGTGCTGGGATTATAGGCATGCACCAGCATTCCTGGCCTGTGTTTTACTTTGTTTTGTTTTTTTGGAACAAAGGCTCACTATGTAGTGAGATTGGCATTGTACTCATGGTGAGCCTCCTGCCTTAGCTTTTTAAGTGTTGGGATTACAGGAATGTGCCACCATACCTAGCAAATGATGATGATTTCTTGACACAACAATTTACAGTTTACTAGCTCTCTAGAAGATTATTGTACCTTTTTGAGATGAGGGTCTCACTATGTTTCCAGGTTGATCTCTAACTCCTGGGCTCTAGTGATCCTCTTGCTTCAGCCTCTTGAGTTGCTGGTACTACAGTTAAATTAGAGTGAGATTGAGAAAAGTTTTTAAACAATTTTGTAAAGGCATGCATATTACCAACATTAATAGAGTTCTATTTTTCACAGAAAAATTTTGAAAGATCTGTCTTCTGAAGATACACGGGGCAGAAAAGGAGACGGAGAAAACCCTGGAGTTCCTGCCGTCACTTCTATGTCTGTTCCAACTCCCATCTATCAGACTAGCAGCGGACAGTACAGTATGTATAGGAATCATCTTCACCTGATGGATACACAGCTTAGGTTTTCTGTGGGAAGAGGTGTTATGAAGAAAGACTGTCATATTTAATAGTGGTAATTATTAAAAGATAATATTTTGAGCCAAGAATAATATAAAATACTTTTTTAGTGTTGTCTCATTTACTACTTACAGCAACTTGTTGAGGTAAGCAGTTACCAGTTTATGAGGGAACAAAATATTAGAAAGTTAGATAATGTTCAGGTTACACAGCTCATAGGTGATGGAATATGATGCAAAATTAGATTCATTTGAATCTAGAAATTTAATTTTACCCCTAATTACAGTAACTGCTATATAGACTGCTCTTTTGGACATCTGCAGTTATATCTATGACCTTAATTCTGTGTAATTTACTATTTGAATTAGTTACAAGATGAAAGATTAAATATGAATGTTAGATTTTCAGTGTGAAGCTAAGGAAGTTTGAATTATAAAGAGAATTCAGAATCTGCAATGTAATTTACCATGAATAATCGGGGGTAATCACCTTTAATGAATCACTGAATCTCTATCTGAAAATGCTACAAAGATTGATCAGGGCCAAGTGTGGTACACACCTGTAATCACAATACTTGGGAGATTGAGGCAGAAGCATCTCTGTGAGTTTGAAGCCAGCCTGCGCTACATAGTGAGTTTGAAGCCAACATCAATTATATTGAGAAACTTGTCTCATAAGTAAGTAATACATGGGTTGGGGATATGCTGAATACAAAGGCTATGGGTTCAGTCCCTAATACTGCAAAACAAGGAAAAAGAATAAAGTCATAAAAGACACAAATGGGTCCTTTGTGTGTGTGTGTGTGTGTGTGTGTGTGTGTGTTAGGGTACTGGAGATTGAACTCAAGTTAAAATATGACTTATTCTAAGACTATTGAAAGTCAAACCACACATAAAATGTATCATGTTATAATTGAGATGTGTACATTACAAACCAGTATATAGGGCAAAGCTTCCTGTGATGATGGAAATGTGTATTTGCATCACTGAGTATAGTAGTCACTAAACCAGGTGACTGTTGAGTCCTTGAAATATGGCTGGTGAGACTGAGGAACTGAATTTTTTATTTTGTTTAACCTAATAGTTACACAAGGCTATTGGCTACTTTACTGAACAGTGCAGTTTTAGAATAAGTACAACCAGGTAAGTAACATGTTAAGACTAGAAAGAAAGTTTGCAAAAATGGAACAGTTCTGTATTATCAGATATATTTAAAATCACTACCTGCATCTACAAATATATAATTTTGATTTATGTATTACTTTATCAATAGTCTTGATGAGCATACAGAAAGACTGGGAACAATGTACACCAAAAGTCACTCACTTCAAGATGTAAAGGGTGCCCACCCCCAAGTGAGTGTCACCACACTGCTTGAGTCTTTCAAGATATAAGTTAAATACATGTAGCAGTGGGGAGGGACAAGAAATGCCTTGGAAAAAATGCTTTTTATTTATGACCCCATCCAATACCCACACAGTTTATTTTGGCTTCCTGGAAGGCAAACTAAAAAAAGGAAAAAGGTTGTGGGTTTAGCTCAGTAGCGTAAGTGCCTGCTTGGCAAATTCAAAGTTGTGAGTTTGATCCCCAGCGCCAAAAATAAATAAAATAAAAAGGAAAAAGATGTTGCAGTTGCAATTTGAAAAGAGAGTACAGGGATAAAACACTAGGTTGCACGGGAGATTTTTTTATTTGGAAACTGCATAATTCTAAAATAATTTCTGTTTGGTTATGTGTTACGGGTTTTAATCTAAGGGAAGACCATTAATACAAATATAATTCAGTGACAAATACCTGTGGGGAGCTAAGTAACATGATCTGATAGGTGGCTTTCTGGAGTAACAAGGAAATGAATGAACAGATTATATTTCTTAAATATCAGTTAGGTAAATAGCATGCAAAATTACAATGTTCATGTTTTCTTCTCTTTTTTTTTTTTTTCTTTAAAAATAAGCCATGGGGCCCCTCTTCTGATGTTTTAGAATTTCTGTGCCATTTGCAGTTAGCATGGAGCACCCCATGGATTCCAAGTGTGCTGTTTTCATCAGTCAGCTATACAACTTGAGGCTGAATTTAAGGCAGTACAGCTGAACTATACAAAAGAAATACCACTTTACTTAGTCTCACTGTTTCCTTCACACAAAGTGGTACACAGTTACCAAGCAAAGTTGCATTCATAACAATTTGAATACTTTGTTACCATTCCTTAAAATTCAGTGTATTATATAGCCTTAAATACTATTTTCTCTTTTGGGTTAAAGTTGCCATTGCTCCAAATGGAGCTTTACAGTTGGCCAGTCCAGGAACAGATGGCGTCCAGGGACTTCAGACATTAACCAGGACCAATTCCGGCAGTACTCAGCAAGGTACAATTCTCCAGTATGCACAGACCTCTGATGGACAGCAAATACTTGTGCCCAGCAACCAGGTGGTTGTACAAAGTAAGTATGCTTAACTGTCATGGAAAGTTTCCCAAAGTACTTTCAAAGACACTTAGCAATTCACCTTTCTGACTTTACAGCTGCATCAGGAGATATGCAAACATACCAGATCCGTACCACACCTTCAGCTACTTCACTGCCACAGACTGTGGTGATGACATCTCCAGTGACTCTTACATCTCAGACAACTAAGACAGATGACCCCCAACTGAAGAGAGAAATAAGGTTGATGAAAAATAGGTAAGCAGTAAAATTATACTATCAGAATGGATAAGTTTTGTAAATTTGAAAACATACCAGATATTACAACAGTATAATTACAAATGAGATTTATATCAGCTTCATTTTACTATGTGTGAATTGTCTCCTTCATTCCCAGTAGATCAGTGAATCTCATTGTTTATCTTCTTTAATATGGTATATGCTTTAGAATCATTTCAGTTTTATTGTATCCTTTGAAATAGCATTGTTTAAGTTTGTTCTTGCTGGGCCCACAGTATTAAATAAAAACAAGCATACCATGGAGATACTGTAGGCTTGGTTCCAAGTCAACATAATAGAGCAAAGGTTACAGTAACGAAAGCCAGTTTTTGGTTTGAGTTTTTGGTTTCCCAGTGTGTATAAAAGTTACATTTACAGTATACTTGTCTATTATTGTGATAACAGTATGTCTTAAAACAGACACACAAAAAATGTATATACCTTAATTTAAAACTACTTTATTGGTAAAAAATTGGCAACAATCATCTGAACTTCTAACAAGTCTGATGGTTTTGCTGGTGGAAGCTCTTGCTTTAGTGTTGATGCCTACTTACTCATTAGGTGGTTCTGATTACTTAAGTTAGTGAGGTCTGTCACAGAATAACATCTCTTGAAAGGAAGATTTCTCTGTAGCATGTGATGCTGCAGAAGAGCATTTTGTCCATAGAACTTCTTTCAGTCTGGACATTAGTCCTCTCAAACCTTGCCTCTGCTTTATTTCATTTCAAGAAACCCTTTTTCGTTTTGGGGAGGTAGGGCAGTACTGGAGATTGAACCTAGGACCTTCACACTGAGCTACATCTGTAGCCTTTTAAACATTTTTTAAAATTTTGTGACAGGGCCTTGCTTCAACTTGCAGAGCTTACCAGAGTGCTGGGATCAATAAGCCACTTTCTTCACTTAGCCAAAAGATCCACCTCCTTCTCCGTTAGTTTTACTACAAGATAGAAGCAGTTCAGCCAGGACTTCAAGCACTATTTTTAATTAATTAATTTTGCAGATTTAAGCCAGACTTCACACTGAGGTACATTGCCAACCCCTTTTAAATTTACTTTTACTGTTTTGAAGACTTGTATTGTTATTGTTTTGAGTTCACTGTTGTGGTTTATGTCTTTTGCTTTTTGTTGTTTTCTCACTTCTCTTTTTTTAATTAAAAAAATAAATTTACTTTTATATACTTTTTTTAAAATTAGGTATGTTTGGCTCCATAGTAATTGCATTCATTTTGGGAAATTGGTACATGTATAATATTTTAATCATTCTTAACACCCTTTCCTTCTCTTTTGTCCCTTCCCCCAGCTTTTCTTTCTCCATGTTCAAGGAGTGTGTTTCCCTGTTGTCTATCATCTCTCTCTTTTTAAAATACTTTTTAATTTATATTTAAGATTTCTCATATAAGAGGAACCATGTGATAATTATTAGCCTTCTGCACCTAACTTATTTAACATTGTTACCTGAAGTTCCTTCTGTTTTTGTACATCTAGGCATGGAATTTTAAAAATAAACATTTTATATGGTTGTTTTATTTTTGTTTTTGAGGAATTGCCACACTTTTTCCAGAGTGATTGTACTGGTTTACATTTCCACTGCCAGTATAGAAGGATTCCTTTTTCCCCTCACTAGCATTTGTTGGTTTATGTGTTCTTTTGTCTTTTTGAGTCTTGCTATGCAGTTCAGGGTGGCCTTGAACTCACTTTGTAGCCCAGGCTGGCCTTGAACTTGCAATGATCCCCCTGTCTCAGCCTCCCAAGTGCTAGGATTACAGGCATGTGCCAGAATACCCAGCAGGTTTCTGTGTATGTGTGTTGTATTTTTTAAATTTTTTTTCTTTTTTTATTGGTACTGGGGATCAACTCACAACTGTGCACTTGCAAGGCAGGCACTTATGATGCCCAGTTTTTGTGTTCTTGATGATGGCCATTCTTACTGGAGTAAGATGAAATCTTAGTGTAGTTTTGATTTGAACTTCTCTGATGACTGCAGATATTACTTATTGGCCATTTGTGCTTCTTCTGAGAAGTACTTTATTTCATTTGCTGTTTCGTTTTTTGAGACAGGGTCTCACTGTGTAGTTTAGGCTAGCCTTGAACTTACTATGTAGTCCCGGCTTACCTTGAACTCAAGGGGATCCTCCTGCCTCCGCCTGCCAAGTAGTGGCATTACAGGTGTGTGCCACTACTCCTGATCCCATTTTTTGATTGGGTCATTATTTATCTGTATAGTATCATTCTTGCATCCCTCTCATGAAACTAACTTGATAATGATCTTTTTGGTTTTTTTTAAAGGAAATAAAATGGAACAGTATTGGATTTCAAAAACAAGACAGAATGAAGTCCCCCATAGTTGCTATATTGCATATTTTTATCCTCTAAATAGATGCTCAGACTACCAGCTTTAAGCCTGCAAAGTTAGTCAAACTATACAAGCATTAAGTTTTTATGTGGGTTTTTTGTTGTTGTTGTTGTTGTTAGTTTTGTTTTGTTTTCCTTCAGTTGCTGTCAGCCTGCGTTCCTCCAAATCAGCCTGTGCTTATGGGGTGGGGGTAGGTGGCAAGATAGGTGTTTTTCTTGTCTCCCAGCCCAGCTAGCTCACAATAGGGAGCAGGTTGGCTTCTTGGTTCTCCTCCCACCACTTGGTCATGATCTTTTTTAATGATTTTTGTATATTCTGTTTACAAATAGATGTTTTGGTTTTTTTGTTTTTTGTCTTTTTGAAACAGTGTCTCACTAAGCAGTTCAGGCTGGCTTTAAGCTCAATTTGTAACCCAAGCCAGTCTCAATTTGTAACCCAAGCCTGCAGGTTGTTTTAGTCTTCCAAGTGCTGGGATGACAGGTGTGCACCACCATGCCCAGCTTGTTTGTAGATAGTTTGAGAAGTTTTGCATATGTGTTCATCGGAGATACTGGGTTGTAGTTTCCTTTTCTGTTGACTCCTTGTCCAGTTTTATTTTATTTTTTAAAGAGCATAAACAATATAATGAGAATGACCATAGATTTCAAAAACAAGACAGAAAGAAATCAACAATAGGGTATTGTACTGCATACTGTTATCCTCCAGATAGTCACTTAGACCACTAGATACAAGCATGCAAAGTTAATCAGACAGTAGTTGTTTTTTTACTTCAGTTGCTATCACTTCAGAAGTTTCAGGTGTGTGGCTTTCAATTTCTTGTGTCTGCGTCTCCAGGACTTGTTTTGGGTAGGGCTCACCATGGGACTTGTCTTCTTGGGTCCATGGAGGCCTTTTCTCTAGGTCTTCAGCCACTGGCTTTCAGGGTAGGAGTGTGGTGACTTCCTCTCCAGTCTGGTGGCGGTTTATGGGAGTGTGGCTTCTCCTGGGACCTGAAGTGGAAGCCCTAGTTTTCTTATTTTTGCTGGGTTCCTGTATTGTCTCTCTCCATGGGCTTCAAGTCTCACTTTAGATCCTTGCTAGTCCTAGAGACCTCTCTCCCTCCTTTTTCTCTTCCGCATGTTGCTATATTCCACTGTCTAGACACCAAGTCTTTGGATAGGCTCTTTGTTGTTCATCACCCTGCCATCTTCCTGGAATTCTATCCTTGTCCAATTTTAATATTGTGGTTATGCTGTTTTCACGGAATGAGTTTGAAAGCGTTCCTTCTCTCTTAATTTCATGGAAGAGTTTGAGGAATATTGGCATTAGTTCTCTGAAGTTCTGGTAAAATTCAGCAGGAAATCCATCACAGGAAATCCTAGGTGTTTCTTAGTTTTATTTGTGTAATTCTCAAAAATCTGTAAGGTATAAATATTAGTTTTACTTTTTTGACTCAAGGATACTGAGACCTACAGATGTCACATGATTTGCCCAAGGTTACACCACTTTATAAGTGGAAGTGGTACAATTTAAACTTACATCCAGGCTTCAGGCCCAAGGTTTTACATAATGCCATTTTGCCTCGCAGAAGAGTCAGCACAAACAGCAAATAAATGAATGAGTTTTGTCAAGTCTTCAGTTATCCAGTGAATATAGGGAAAGAAATAGGTCTAGGAAGAGAGGCAAGAGGGAGGAAAAGAGAAAAGAGAAAAGAATAAGGTCTCACGTTTAAAGAAAAAAAGATATCATTGAAAAATCGAACATCTAGAGAATGTAAAAAATAAAAATTGTAAAATAGAAAACATAACAGTGTATTCATCTTGAGGTGGGTTCATGAACAACAATATAGGTATCCAAGTAGCCAAATTGATAAATTTGAAATTTAATTAACTGAGCTCAGGACCACTCGTATACAGACCCCCCCCCCCGTTTCAGAGTCCAAACAAGTGGCCCCAAAACTGAAAAATTACAAAGCTTTTAAACAGAGAACCATAAAAAGACATCCTGTTGGAAACAGTTTAGCTAGAATCTTACATTAATTTTTAGTTGACACCTATATCCTGCTTCTTTTGTTGAGCAGGTTAATTTTTCTCTTGTGGGTACAGCTCATTCTGTTTTTCTCATGGGACTTATACCCTGAGTAATTTTCCATTTTCCTGGGTCAAATACAGGGCACTAGTTAAATGCAGGGCTCAAGATGGAGTCAGTTATGCCAAGCTACAACAATCTAAAATGTCTAAACACTGTATGGAAATTCTTGCCAGTTTATTAAGACAGGAAAAGGAAATTACACAGATTAAAGTAAAACTGTTATTGATACACAGTTGCCTACCAAAAGAAACCCCAAACTGGATGTGATAGTGCCCACCTGTAGTCCCAGCACTCAGGAGAGTGAGGCAGGAGTTCAAGGCCAGCCTCAGCTGCATAGTAAGACCCTCTCTCAGTGAAACAAAACAACCCCCCAAAAAAACTCAAATAGATGTACTGAAGAATTAGAAGTAATGAGTTTATAAGGATTTTAGGTACAAGAGCAGTTTTTAGAAATAACTGTATTTTCTTATGTCAGCAGTACAACGTTTGAAAAAATAATTATTTAAACGGTATCAGTTCAAGCTAGGTGCAATGCTCTATGCATAATCCCAGCCCTT